CCCGCTTCGTTGGAGCAGCCACTCCCCCGCCGGATAGAGGATGCGTCCTGCTCCAGCAGAGTCCCCCCTGAACTAGTATCCCCAACATCATGCAACTTGGCAAACTTACTGGGGTGAACCAGATCAGGGCTGACATCTCTAGCTCTCTTCCCTCTCCCACGCCTTCTAACAGTAACCCAGCTCCCCACCTCGGGATCCTGCTCCTCCAACCCCCCCCTCCACCACAGCCTGGTGCGTTGTGTCCAGACTTTTCCATGACCGTTATGCTCCTAAAGTGTTGCCAGTTTCTTGCTTAGATCCAGAATCTGGGTTTCCAAACAAGCAACTTGCTCACATCTTGCGCAAATGTATTCCCCCTCAAAGGCATATTCAAGGAACGCATACATTGCACTCGACATGCACCTGGTTGCATACCCACTCATGGAAGACATTATTTTATTTCACCCTTCTTATTTACTTTTATATTATTTTTATGTAAATCGAGACTACTTATTTGTAATTTATTTATCTAAGGTTTAGGGGTTCACAAGTGGCACGTTCAATAACTTGTTTGTTAAACTAAATTTAATTTATACCACCGCCCTGGAATAAGTTACAACCGCCCTGGTTAAACTTCAATTGTTTAAACGCCAATTTTTTAACGCCACTTAGCTTCCAGGCACTTTGTTCCTAAGCCCTGTGTGAGCCATATACTCATGACAACTGCCTAAAAGAAGATTTCCCTCACATTGGAAAACTATCCTGTCACTTCCTTTCGAGTCCGCAGGATAGGAAGTGAAACATTTCTAGCGAAAAACAGATTGCTAAAATTTTTTATCTGACAGCAGTTTTGACACTCCCCTTCACTATTAAAAACAAAGTTTTGGATTAAGAGATTTAAATGTTATTTTGTGTACACAAAGTTTCCTTTGGCATGTAGCACTCCCATGTACTCCAACCATGTGAAAGCCATGCTATAAATCCTTCAGATCTTTACTATTCTCACTTTTCCTAAATTTTGTCTGTTGGTCTATATTCCAGGCATACCTCTAATTTTTTCCTATAGGCACATACCCCAACCACCCTAATAAACACATAAAAAGGTATTCATTTCAATTTTATGGGGTTTTTTTTGTCTTGAAAATAAAAAAATATATTGAACTATTTAAGCTTGAAGTGATGACTTACTGTAGCTAAAATGTCTTGCAGATTGATGGGAGTCTCTAACTATATAAATAAAACAATTAATAAATGGCCCTTCTTGTCAGGGTCAAACAATGGCAATACTATGATGACATTAATGAAGAGTGAGACAGTAGACTGTAGGCAGTTACATTTGGATGGGAGTTTTAAATATTCAGGTTATTATGTACCCAACTGTGAGCAGGAATACAGTGGCCTCATTATCAGTAAACAGAAACATACAGTAAATGCAATATTAATGTAGTGTGTGATACATTATGCCAAGACTGCTCCTTACAAGATGCAGACAGTGTGTAACCTCAGTTTCTCCTTCCGGAGTTGCAAGGTAAAGATAGTCACAGCCAGCACTGTGTGAGATTAGGGGGCTGATGCATTTATTAAAACCTTAGCACACGCCTTCAAAAAATCCAGATACATTATAGATTTTTACCATTATACCAAGTGAGTAATGGCACACATAACCAAGTCTGTCCCAATGCGGTTGTGGAATGATTGGCTGGTGTGTAAAGATGAACTGTCCACATGTATCTTTTAATCATTGTTTTCCTTAACAATACTCGGACAAGAAAAAACAGGCGCTGCAGATAATAGCATTGCACACTAGTCGTAGAGCAAATGTTCCATGCAGAGCACTGAAGGAGGCATATGGTTGAGGAAACATCATTCTTCAAATTTCCTTTTCCAGTCAACAGAATCAGGAAATTATAATTTTCCAGGGAGTGGAGGGAGGGAACCAGACATTCCGGTAGATGGGCCTAAAAGTATCTGATGAAAGAAAACAACTCTAATCAGTATACAAATTAGTAATCATATTAAGCTACTGTAGATCTCCAACTTTTCATTATCTAGTCACACTCATATGAAAACCATGAAAAGAACAATGATATGAGTTGTGCAGCACCCAATAACACATTTCAGATTGCATCACATTTGTTCAGTCTTACAAAAAAAGAGAGATGAAAGCTACTAATTTGCTGTAACTGATAACTCAGAGGAGTGTGGACATTAAAAATAAATACTTGTCTAAGGACTAAAGCGGGGGCTCAATCTACTTGTCCTAATACAAAAATGTTTTTTTAACCAAAATGGTATTTAACCTGTTAGAGAGCACTGCTTATTCACATGCAGATGGCAGCAGGAACGGGGTTGGTTTAATTTTTTTTCCATATTTAATTTTTCAACTTTATCACTTTTTAATTTTTTCAGTTTTGTTTTTTCACTTAAACTTTATTACTATCACATAAGGGCAAACAACACCCTGTGCGATAGTGTTTGGAGGTGACAGATTTGCCTTATGGAACCTGCCATCTAACACAGAACATCGAGCAACTGCATTGTGCTAGATTCTGCTTGGAGCAGTCACTCCCCCTCCGGATAGAGGATGCGTCCTGCTCCAGCAGAGTCCCCCCTGAACTAGTATCCCCAACATCATGCAACTTGGCAAACTTACTGGGGTGAACCAGATCAGGGCTGACATCTCTAGCACTCTTCCCTCCCCCACGCCTTCTAACAGTAACCCAGCTCCCCACCTCGGGATCCTGCTCCTCCAACCCCCCCCTCCACCACAGCCTGGTGCGTTGTGTCCAGACTTTTCCATGACCGTTATGCTCCTAAAGTGTTGCCAGTTTCTTGCTTAGATCCAGAATCTGGGTTTCCAAACAAGCAACTTGCTCACATCTTGCGCAAATGTATTCCCCCTCAAAGGCATATTCAAGGAACGCATACATTGCACTCGACATGCACCTGGTTGCATACCCACTCATGGAAGACATTATTTTATTTCACCCTTCTTATTTACTTTTATATTATTTTTATGTAAATCGAGACTACTTATTTGTAATTTATTTATCTAAGGTTTAGGGGTTCACAAGTGGCACGTTCAATAACTTGTTTGTTAAACTAAATTTAATTTATACCACCGCCCTGGAATAAGTTACAACCGCCCTGGTTAAACTTCAATTGTTTAAACGCCAATTTTTTAACGCCACTTAGCTTCCAGGCACTTTGTTCCTAAGCCCTGTGTGAGCCATATACTCATGACAACTGCCTAAAAGAAGATTTCCCTCACATTGGAAAACTATCCTGTCACTTCCTTTCGAGTCCGCAGGATAGGAAGTGAAACATTTCTAGCGAAAAACAGATTGCTAAAATTTTTTATCTGACAGCAGTTTTGACACTCCCCTTCACTATTAAAAACAAAGTTTTGGATTAAGAGATTTAAATGTTATTTTGTGTACACAAAGTTTCCTTTGGCATGTAGCACTCCCATGTACTCCAACCATGTGAAAGCCATGCTATAAATCCTTCAGATCTTTACTATTCTCACTTTTCCTAAATTTTGTCTGTTGGTCTATATTCCAGGCATACCTCTAATTTTTTCCTATAGGCACATACCCCAACCACCCTAATAAACACATAAAAAGGTATTCATTTCAATTTTATGGGGTTTTTTTTGTCTTGAAAATAAAAAAATATATTGAACTATTTAAGCTTGAAGTGATGACTTACTGTAGCTAAAATGTCTTGCAGATTGATGGGAGTCTCTAACTATATAAATAAAACAATTAATAAATGGCCCTTCTTGTCAGGGTCAAACAATGGCAATACTATGATGACATTAATGAAGAGTGAGACAGTAGACTGTAGGCAGTTACATTTGGATGGGAGTTTTAAATATTCAGGTTATTATGTACCCAACTGTGAGCAGGAATACAGTGGCCTCATTATCAGTAAACAGAAACATACAGTAAATGCAATATTAATGTAGTGTGTGATACATTATGCCAAGACTGCTCCTTACAAGATGCAGACAGTGTGTAACCTCAGTTTCTCCTTCCGGAGTTGCAAGGTAAAGATAGTCACAGCCAGCACTGTGTGAGATTAGGGGGCTGATGCATTTATTAAAACCTTAGCACACGCCTTCAAAAAATCCAGATACATTATAGATTTTTACCATTATACCAAGTGAGTAATGGCACACATAACCAAGTCTGTCCCAATGCGGTTGTGGAATGATTGGCTGGTGTGTAAAGATGAACTGTCCACATGTATCTTTTAATCATTGTTTTCCTTAACAATACTCGGACAAGAAAAAACAGGCGCTGCAGATAATAGCATTGCACACTAGTCGTAGAGCAAATGTTCCATGCAGAGCACTGAAGGAGGCATATGGTTGAGGAAACATCATTCTTCAAATTTCCTTTTCCAGTCAACAGAATCAGGAAATTATAATTTTCCAGGGAGTGGAGGGAGGGAACCAGACATTCCGGTAGATGGGCCTAAAAGTATCTGATGAAAGAAAACAACTCTAATCAGTATACAAATTAGTAATCATATTAAGCTACTGTAGATCTCCAACTTTTCATTATCTAGTCACACTCATATGAAAACCATGAAAAGAACAATGATATGAGTTGTGCAGCACCCAATAACACATTTCAGATTGCATCACATTTGTTCAGTCTTACAAAAAAAGAGAGATGAAAGCTACTAATTTGCTGTAACTGATAACTCAGAGGAGTGTGGACATTAAAAATAAATACTTGTCTAAGGACTAAAGCGGGGGCTCAATCTACTTGTCCTAATACAAAAATGTTTTTTTAACCAAAATGGTATTTAACCTGTTAGAGAGCACTGCTTATTCACATGCAGATGGCAGCAGGAACGGGGTTGGTTTAATTTTTTTTCCATATTTAATTTTTCAACTTTATCACTTTTTAATTTTTTCAGTTTTGTTTTTTCACTTAAACTTTATTACTATCACATAAGGGCAAACAACACCCTGTGCGATAGTGTTTGGAGGTGACAGATTTGCCTTATGGAACCTGCCATCTAACACAGAACATCGAGCAACTGCATTGTGCTAGATTCTGCTCAGTCTGCGACAGCTGAGATAGGGGGCACTGTGAATATAGCGTTCCTGTCTCACTGATCACAGAGAGCAGGTCAGAGAATGGATGTTCTCCTCTCTGCTCTCTATCCTGTAATGATTGCTGTGGTCCCAGGTCCACTAGAAGAGCGGAGAAATTTTGAAATTTTGCCCCCAAGATGGTAGCGTCCAGAATAGACAATACCAAGTCTGGGGCAAACCGGCTTGTACTTTATAGTTTACATACCATCTTTTAAAAATACTTTGTAACACTCCATTTGTGTATTTCAGAATAAAACTGCAGGCACTATGTTTTGTAATGGCACAGCATTGCAGTACAGCACATTCCAGTGCCCGGTCATCATTTTAGAGTTAGCCATGAATAATGGCCCAAAGATTATTGTATTGCTCTCACTCTGGCACACATGGCGATACCTGACAGGAGCAGTTCCAATCGTTATTTTCATACGTAGGTGCATCCGACTTGTAATTCTGTTAGTATGTGCGCATTCGTGGAGGAGTTACAATTTCTTGGTATTTTTCATTTTATTTAACTTTATTTTTTGAACTTTTTTTGTTTTTTACTTAACTGTATTGCAATCACATGGGGGGTTCCAAAGCCCCCTATGTGATAGCACATTGGAGGTGGCAGGTTCTCTTTAAAGACGACATTAGGGGTCTATGTCACCTTTCACCCTGTCACCTTTCCACTTCAAAGAAGCTATTTAAGCGCTCATTATGCTCGAATAGCTTCAGCCGGGGTAAACACAGCAGGCAGTGGACGGGTGCAATAGCTAGCCTACTATTGGCTATTTCAAATTTCTGAAGTTCTCCTTCAGGTCCGCTCCTCTGCTGATTGCAGTAGCAGACCCACCCTCTGCCTGCTGTCAATCTGAAATAGCCAATGCAGTGGTCTGTGTACCCTCCGATCCTCACTGCCTCTGCCAATTCAGGCGGGTGAGAGCAGCGGGTATCTGAGGGGACACAAACCACAGCATGCAGCTGGCTCCCATCAGGGAGGACAAAGCATGCAGAGGGGCGTCACCGGGAGGGGGGATGGAGCGCTCCCCGCCGCTGGGAGCAGCGGGGATCGGAGGGGACACAGAGGCGATGAAACACCAGCTCCCAGCACAAAGGGGAGAATTAGGGGATCTACACCAACTAATCGATAACGAGAATTGTTGACAACAATTCTCTATCGATTAATTGGTTGCAGCCCTAACTTTCACTGAACTGCTACTGAAGTGGATGAGGAGAATAGTTACATAGTTGTTACAGTTGGATAAAAACACAGGTCCAACCTTTGGGTTGTGTGTGTGTTACTAAGATTACCTGTACCCCTCTATATCTTGTGCACTGAAAAAATTATTATTGGAATGATATTGGTATTGGAATGATTCCATACTCTCAGCTGATACCACTGTCTGTGGAAGGGGGTTCCACAATTTTACAGCTCTCACAGTAAAGAATCCCCTTCGCCATTTCAGATTACACCTTTTGTCTTCCAGTTTCAGACGGTGGCCTAAACTAACAGTAAACAGCTTATTACAGATTATCCCATCAACATTAAATAATTTGTAATATCATGCCCCCTCTCAGTCTCTTCTTTTCAAGAGTGAACATGTTTAACACCTGCAGTCCTTCCACATAGTTTGGATCCTCTAACCCCTCTATTAGCTTTGTTGCCCTTCTCTGGACTCTCTCTGGTTCAAGGACATCCCTTCAGTTGATCAGTGACCAGAACTGAACTGCATACTAAAGATGTGGCCGGACCAGTGCTTTGCACAGGGGCAGAATTATGGATTTGTCTTTACTTTATTGATATTACCTTACTTGCCTTGTTTGCACCTGCCTGGCATTGCATGCCGTTATTAAGGCGGCAGTCCACTAGGACTCCCAAATCTTTTTCCACCTCCGATTCCCAAATGTCGAAGGCCAATTAATGAGTAGCTCGCTCTTGTATTTTTTACTCCAAAATGCATAACCTTACACTTCTCAATATTAAACCTCATCTGACATTTAGATGCCCAACCCCTATTTTAACCAGATCTTCCTGTAATATTGCTATGTCTTCTGACGAGTTTATTACCCTACAAAGTATCATCTGCAAAAACGGAAATATTGCTATTAATGGCAGTCCCAATATCATTGATGCAGGTTGAACAGCAATTGCCCCAAGACAGAACCCTGGGGCACGCCACTGCCAACTGGGGACCACTTGGAAAATGAGCTATTGATACTCTCTGGACACGTTCACTTAGCCAGTTCTCTATCCAAGTACACACCATTTCATCAATGCCCAAAGACTCAAGCTTGTAAATTAAATGTTTATGAGGTACCGTATCGAATGCTTTTGTAAAACCAAGGTACACTACGTCCATTGACTTTCCTCTGTCTAGGTTGCCACTTACCTCTTCATGGAACGCTAACAGGTTGGTATGGCATGAACGGTCTTTCCTGAAGCCATGTTGGTTGTCACTTATAATATCATGCCCATAAGCATTTTAATGAATATGGTCCTTTATCATACCCGCAAATAACTTGCATAATATCGATGCTAAGCCAACTGGTCTACAATTCCCAGGTAAGCATCTCAAACCTTTTTTAAATATTGGTACAACAGCTGGTAGCTCCCCAGTCAGTATGGAGTCCTTAAGAATTAGTAACCATGGCCTCGCTATTATCAAGTTATACAACTCCCAACAAGCCTGTTCATGCACAAGGATAATACATTTATTTATTGTCATTTTTTTATTTATTTTGGTGCCATCAAAGTGACCAGAAGGATTTGCACCAGAATTTGGCGGAAACTTGTGACGGAAGACCTGTGATAGCCCAGAAGCTGTGCTGTGACTCAAAAGTCTGATAGTGGCTTAGGAGTCAGATCCACTCTTGAAGTTTGGAACCCCAAGACTGTAATCTGGAGTTTGAAAGACTGAACAGAACACTGTGCCTTGGACCAGAAGACCTAAATTGTGCACTGCAGATGCAACTTCAAAACTGAGGCTCAAATGCTGGAAGTACACAATATTTCCTTTTTATCAGTATTATTAAAGGAGAACTATTGGGAGTGTAAAATGCACTCCTCCCAATTGTTTGAGCTGGCATGTGACATTGCAGCTGCCACAGACCGGCTATATAGCTTGAGAACTGAGCGATCACAGAACGCTGATCGCTCAGCTCACAGCTTCTCCCTGCAGAGAGCGCTGACTATCAGTCACTGTTCCCCACAAGGATTACCCCTTCCCCTCTTTCTATTCCTCCAGCATTGATTGGAGGGACAGACAGGAGGGGTCAGACACCGGCTCTAGAGAGGCAGCAGGATCTTTCCCGGCTCCAACGTGGCTCTGTGCTGTCAGCATATAGCAGGCAATAGCCCACTATATGACAATTTTGGGTTACAGGAGTACATTAGTAAATGTACTCCTGTGACCAAAATGAGAACTATAGCCAAAATGAGAACTATAGTGGCTATAGTTCTCTTTTAACCTAGTTACAATGCTTACTAAGTGTGAGGCTAGTGTCAGCTTTAAAAAAAGTTAACAGATGGGTGTTAAACTGTATCAAGCGATACGGTGGCCCTTTTAAAATCCCAGAAAAATATAAACAGGCATAGACCGTAAGTAGTATTACACGCTCAAACTTTTTTCACTAATCAATCCAGGACAAACAAATATACATTGTCCAGCAAAGCATTTGCTTTACAGTACATATTTACCCACTTACAATCATCATGTTTCTGAACAGCTGGTTCCAACTTTCTCAGCTCCCCTGCACCTTCTGTCTAGTACAAGATCACAAAAGGACAGTGCAGCAACTGTATCAACTAGCTTGAAGGAGGGAGAAGGGAGGAAGGAGAGGAGAGCAGGGAGGCAGAAAGTGGCTTGCCTTGCTGTGTCTGTTTGTGGACACGCACACAAAAGGGTGACTCCATAGCACTTACGAAAGGAGGCACTCTAAAACAGCAAGTCAGGACCAGTGCTCAGGGGACCAGCTTAATTTGCAGGAAACTAAAACTTTTAAACATCAAGGAGCAGCATTTATTGTAAGTGATTTCATCAGCATTTGAAATGGCTTAAAGTCCTTTTGACTTCAATGAGAGGATTTTTATAGAAAATGTTTTTTATAACAAAATTTTCAAAAAGGAAGGGCTGTATTGTGCAGGGATAAGTATAAGGAAATCGCCAAATTAAAAAAACTAACTTTGGGGGGGTGGGGGGTGTGGAGGATTGGGACAACATTTGTACAATGTAAAAAAAACAATCATAAACCAATAATGTCAGTTTAAAGTTGGATGCAGTAACTGCAATCCATACTTTGTGATCAGTTATTAGAAGCAAATGAGAAAACGAAAATAAGAATTAGAAATTTACAGGAATGCAGATATGCATCAAATCTGAAATTCAGCAATCTGCAGGAA